AGAAACACATTAAAGTTTCCGCAGTTGAGTCATGCGTTCAATGATCATTATTTACAATATTATTTCGACTTTTCGACTAACAGACGCATTGGTCATTCACGAATTGATGATGTGCGAGCTGACAATATATATCATTAATTATTTTAATTATTATTGTCTTCGTTTTGTTATTTTTTTGCAATATTAACAATCATAGTACGGTGGACTTCATTAAATTTATGATCTATTCCTCAAAACTTCATCAATTTTATGTCTGTCTGAGTTTTAAAACTGTTAAAAGTACCTATATTTTAAATCTTAATCAGATTTTATCGCTGTCAGATCGAAATTGTTAAAACAAGGTCAAGGATTTTGTTTCTATATTAGCAATTACTGTTAGTAATTTTATATACATTAATAACTATCGGCTCACACTGTAATTATTGTATAATGTGTTGTTATCTTATACTAAGACAGTATGAGATTGACAAATAGGTAATTACACGGTTTAGGCTGTGTTTACATAGAGTGACTAACATGATAGTAATTTGGTAGGTAGTGTAGCTTTTGTTCACATTTTCTTTAATTATTTTCCATTACGTAGATTCTATTTCGTTTACTTTTAACCTTATTTAAAATTAATTAGACCAAATAAACAAAAATCAACTGATATAATGTAAGCTGTCATATCTATCAAATATATTTGGATAATACTTTCTAAAGATATTTAGAATTATGTCCCATGCAATTGTAGATTTTTGTCTTATTGAAGTCGGTAACTTCATTATTAAAGCCTTTATCCTAATAAAATATTCAAGAAGAGGGGTCAACTAAATACGTAGTACTTCAATAAGTGTTTATGTTAGTCTTATTTTTTGATATTTAATTAATGTATTTTACTTATACTGTTTTTAAAATAATAATTAGCTGATTCGCGTGTATGTGCCAGTATATCTCACATATACGAAGAGTAAGCGGGCCTTTAGTTTTATAGTATTGATCGTACGGTAATTACAACGTCTTGAATTGTTATAATGAATATTAACGGAGATATGTCATTAATTTAGAACTATCCCTTGATCAACCTCTACGTGCGTGTTTCGGAGATGTTTAGAAGTAATTTCGACGTGTTTTCTCATACAAAGGATGTAATGTTTCTTAATTGTACAATTTTACTTAATTTAATAATATACAATACTAATGAAGTTTTTGTTGATAATGAGGTAATTTCGTAAGACAGACAGTCTTATATCTTTTTCTTACTCTCATCCGTTGAAATATAAATGGATCAAATGAAGCAAAAACTTTCGTTTAGAGAATAAAAACCGATGGAAAACTTAAAACAATCATTAAAAATTTCTTACAATTGAAGGAAATAACATATTCGATTATAAAATTGTAATATTTTTTATTATGAAATATTATATGTATATAACAATAGAAAATCGAAACGCCTCGAAATATTTTCTTAAACTATTATAAAGTACGAAATATAAATTTTAATAGGCTATTTAAAATTATTATGAAAATGGTACATACAGAATATGTTTATTACATGAAAGCATCTGTGTCTTTTCCGTCAGGGCCCATCATTACCTTGGGTAAACAAGGTTTACATTGAGTGTAAAAATGATTACATATCTGCAAGTTATGATCACGTAGTACTCAGGGTTGGCCAAACTTTACGGTTTAAGGAGTGGGTTCTGATGATGAGACGTGACCTCAACGTCGGCTTTTATTATCATATCTGACTTGATCCCAACGAATTTATTGTTATGAGGATCAGAGACTTTGGCATTATTATGTTAATCATCTATACCCCACTCTTTTTAAATTTAAGCATACTTTCAGCTACCGAAAAGTATTAGGATAATTTAAGTTTCGTCATTATTATGATATGTATATTCAATGCTATTTTTTTATAATTTATCGTACATAAATATTCAATTTCTTTTCAGTTCAAACGCTTTATAAACTTTTTGACAACTATTATATTGAATGTGACAACTATTCGTACATAAAACTTTTAGTAATCGATACCTGGCTCTTAAAATTTCATTAATTCCACAAAGTTAAAGTTAGGTGGGAGCTACGTTTGAGCGCGGCCTGCTACAAATTGTTCATCAAACTGTCTCGAATACGGAATTTAACCGTTAAAACTACAGTTTTATAAAGTTTCATTAATTTTATGTTTAACAAAATTTTGTCCCTCGGCTAACTTTCACATAACTTAAGCATTGTTTGTTATGAGACAAATGAAATGCTATTAACTGGGAACATTGTTGCTTTGGATATTTTGTTGTTTTAGATAAATTTGATTCAGATAACTGACACTGACAGTGTAGTTAACAAGTTAATGTAGTAAACAATTTTTTATGTACACTATATCTTTTATTACATATTAAAATTTCAACAAATATCCAACGTTTAATAATAGGACTATTTGATAACAATTACAACTCGAGGCATTTGTTATAAGAAAAGTTTAATAAGTACTAAATTTAACTGTTACATTAACTTACGTAAAACGATGTTAATAGTAGATCTCGTGCAACTCCAGATGTTATTAAAGAAACGAATGAACCGTTCCTTCAATGTACTCCCTTTAGTGGACTCATCGTCAATGAATCTAACTTTTTTCTTCAGAACACTCCGTTTACCATTCTTCTCAAAACTTTTACTATTTATACATGATTTTTGAACTATCACTTCGTTTGGGAACTCATTTCTTTGAACAACATTTTCACACACTGTATTAACCTTAACAGAAGCATCGTTACTATTTGATTTGATTACATTTTTTATCATTTGCTTACATTCGACATTCAGTGGTCGAGTTTGCGCACTACTTATTTCTATCTGATTTTCAAACTCCGTGTTTGAACGGATTACAAAACTCGTGAGTATCACTCTGACTATAGAATGTATTCACAACACAATGCGGTACTGAGTGGTGTTATACTGTGACGCCGATAATTTGCGACTAGGCGACGCGTCTGCGACTTCTTGGCGTTGTTTCAAATGTCGACTTTTAGGGCACATTTAAATATGAACCAAATGAAGTTATTCAAAATGAAATGATCAGAACGCATTACGATGCAGCTTCGTCATATCAATAATAAATAATTTTATTCCATTTTATCAAAATTCCGCGAAATACAGAAAAATAAATAAAAATAAGTATATATTTTTTTCTGAAAAGAGAATCATAAAATAATAAATATAAATTTAAATAAACTAAATACAAGAGAAGAACATTAAATTTAATGAATTTCATAAAAAAATATTGATACATGCTAAATATATTTAATGTAGATGAGCAAATTAATACTAGGCTATTGATAATAATTGATTTTATTCCTAAAAAATTTTTAGTATATACGAAGCATTAGTTCAAGCAACAACAGAGAGATCTGTCTTTATTCTGTACTGGTTCTGATAGTAAAAATATATGAGTAATTTTTTATAATTTATATAATGAAGGCTATAAAGTGTGGTGCATAATTTCCAATCAAGCGAGCACAATCCAAACACGACTCGGTGGCTGTTTATTATCATCTCAAAGGGTTTGTTTGCAAAATTTCGTAAAACACTGGCACGGTTTTTGCCAGCTTCGTTTTCATGCATAATAATAGGTTCGTGTGGTGCTCTAAAGCAGTCACTGGATTAAAAAAATGTTTTAGCGTTAGAGGATTATAGTTTTTTTTCATATTAATATTTTTTACATAAACCGTTCATCACGGAAAATATGATCCGGATTTTATAAAGTTAAATTGAATTTAGAATATTCTGCAGTATTCAGTTGTAAATGAAATTTTTTAAATATTTAAAATAAGATGCTTTGAAAACTTCAACATAGCGCTATCTAATATTGAACATCAGTTTACGCAATTTATCACCGGTGGTGTCACAAGTTTCGCAAACTTCAAAAATTTTAATGTTGATAACGATCGAACCCTTTTGTAAGTTTATATAAATGTATTTCACAAAACAATTCCGTTCATAAAATGAAAATTTATTTATAAATAAATTACTAATAGGTAGTTTATATATTTGTCCATATATTTATATCTGAAAAATAATTTTGAGGTTCATCTGCTAATGCAAGACGTATTGGTTTTCTGTTAAAGCTATTTGATAGTGTATTTTAATATGTAGAGAATTTTGTATATGTAAAAATAATGAAGAAGATCATAAATAAAAAGCCTATAATGTAGCAACTGTAGTTATTCATCGTAAGCCCTTTCATAAAACATAAATAATGTGGTCGTATACTGCGTTATAAGTACGACCTGGGCTCACTATAGAATTTAGTATATTTTCATATTAGTTTTTATTGCGCCAGATAGTAATTACATTATGGTTCTGAGTACGTGTAATAATTCCATATTAAGCACATAATGTTTTTGAAATGGAAATAAGTTGGTAAAAGCTTTAAAGGCAGTTGTTATTTATTTTGCTGTAAAATAGTTTGAGTGCTCATAATGGTGGTTTCGACATGTTAATTTGAAAACAAAATCCTTTATATTCATTTCATAAATAATAAATGGTGGTAAATCCAATTTATTATTTAGGCTAGATTGTATAAAATGATGGTTCTGGATTGATAAAGATTGTTCTTATATAAATATAATAATAATAAATTAGTTAATCTACCTATATTTGATGTGAAATTGTTAATAATATTTTATTTTATATAACGTCTTAAAGTAAATTAAAATAAACGGTGCGCTGTGTAAAGTAAAATCACTCACAATTTATAATCCAGAACGTCTGAAAGTTTCCCCTTAAATACATAGCAAGTTGATCGGAAAGCGAAGTTTAATGAAAATAAGGAATTTAAAACCATAATGCTGACAGAGTGCTTAGTTATTTTGCTTCCGAAGCGAAATGCTAAAGTTTAGGTCCCCCGATAAAGGATTGTTCCATTACTTTGGGAGCGATTTGACGTTTTTCTATCGCATACCTCCGTCAATATTATGTTTTCAGCTAAAGTTAGATTGAATTAATGATAAAAAGTATTACCTAGAGCAAACTTGACCCCGGTCCATGCGGTGCGGACATAGTGGAAGAGTCGGCGGTAGAGGGGGCGATGTCGTCTTCGTCGCGGCGCCTCCGCGTCGGGCGCGGGCGGAGCGCTGTCCTCGCCCGCGCCCGCTCGTCCCTCCACCGATGACGCCGTGGCTTATAGCACCCAGCTTTACCCGAAACGCTCTCCTCCCTAATGTAACCGCATTACTTTACACCACCCGGTCGCATGCATTGTTCAAGCATAACTTTGGAACATTTCATTTGACGCTTTTTGATATTTTAATACACTTATTGGTTAAGTACTATATTGAGTAGAATTTTAGTAGACACTGAGTTAGAATTATTTGTTTCAGATTAGGTTATCACACATTTAATCACATAAAACAATTACGATTTCAATGGCATGATTGTTATTCTCACTTTTTGTTATTTGTTATTTATTATTGTCACACAAGCAGCAATAGACAGGTTATATCTGTGAACAAAGAAAGCGTTGTTAGATTTAGTTTAGATTTAGTAGAGTTGGTATAAAATGGTATGAGGTTAACTTACAAAATATAATATGAGGAATAAGTTATACATATAACTACAGTTGTATTAAGTGTAATATCATCATCGAACAAGATGATATATTAATATTTGTATATTATTTAAGGTCTATTCTACGATACTTATTATAAAATACTATTATTTAAGTTTGGTGTTTTTATTATCTGACTGTATACTCCAATTAATTGATATATTTTTAATTGCGATGAATTGATTGAAGACTGAGACTTGAATTAAAAAAAAGCTATAGTGAAAATATTTCTAGAAAAAGAAAGCTATTCAGGGTAGCGAAAATAGATTCAAAGCATAAATAAATAATAATATACAAAAGGTTAGAAAAATGATTCCAAGTTTGAGATGAAGTTATTGTTTAATTAACAAATTATAATACAAATAAGCAACATCAACATGTTAAATTAGCCCGAGTTTCGACTTACACAAACTGAAACTTCCGAATGCAAAGTTATGAATAGAGCGGTTAGGTTCATTGTTTGTTCGTGATTTGCATTAGATTTGAATTTCAGCGTATGTTAATGAATGTACGGTATACAATTCCCTTGAAAAATGTTACCGCTATCACTCGCTTGTGTACGAATTTCAGAACGCACATACCGTATTGTGTTTGACTTTAGTATGAAGCTATGTAAATGGATAGCAAAAATGAGGATTATATTAAAGGATCGGCTGTGCAAATAACAGCTTTAGCTTGAGGTCGTTGGATTTTATTCGGGTTTACATTTAATCGTATAAATGTCCAGTGGTACACCAATATATTTGATTTTTATGTTTCGAATATTGTACAATTAATATATTTCTTGATTGGATAATGGATATATTTACTTGGACTGTAGTTTTGAATAATGATAAATCATGTCACGAATATACCATTAGGTACTGAAAAGTAATACCAGGAATAATCAATGAAGCCTAAAAACCAATTCAACACGAATAAGACAAATAGTCAATCATTTTCATACAACTGGGTCTACGGCTTCCAATTTATTATAAGAAATTATAAGGCTTTTTCACAACTAAACGTACCATCGTTTAATAACAATAAGTTATAAAAACAAAATTTATCGGATTTACAATAAAGGTACAAAATAATAAACTGTTCACTGATTTGAACCAAAAAAACTATTTTAGTAATGTAGTAAAGAACTATTTTAAACATACAGTTAATTGAAATTTTAAAGTAGCAACCACAATTTACTCTTATTAACGTTGCCAAAGGTATTATAATAAAAAATATTTAATTTAAAAAGCCCCTTTTCATTAATTGTCACTTTACACACGTGAGGCAATTTTCTGAGTAGCATTAGGGCTAAAATGCCTTAGATTATTTTGGAAAGAACTAATATTCTTACATTGTTATATCGAAATTAATAAAATAACCTTTCAAAGACACTGGCTGCCAAATAGAGAAACCGCTTCGAAATCGGTTGATTCATTTGAGAAATATCGCATATAGATCCAGACAAAAAAAACACATACATACACACATCGACGTCAAACTTGTAACGCCCCCTTTTGGGTCGGGTTTTAATAAAATAAGATTAATTATAATAGCTTAATTAATTTGAAATATGAGTATTACTTATCCATTTATCTTGTCACAATTTTTGGTTACGCTATATATTTTTGTAAGGGTTCAGAGTTTTGCCTTTGCAGAAATTTATTCAGATTTTGTATTCGTTAATACATTTCAGAGCTGCAATATTTTTGACGCATATCATTGCTTTATTACTCGTTTATCTTTACTTTCTTTACCATTATCCCTCTTTCTAAGATTGTCTTGAAAAGATTGTTGCGATAAGGCAGCCTGTTGCACCTAATGCAAGTGCCTCTCTATGTTTGATTATACGATGAGATAAAATCTACATGTCAGCTACAGTTTTCCTGTTCTTATGTTATTTATTCTTGATTTCCATAAAGCATTTCAGTCTATTTTTCATGGGTTAAAACTGTTTCACATAAATTATTGATCTGAGTTTAACGGAACTTTTTTGAATACTAGCTTTTTGTTGTCATATAAAAACATATTATGAATGCTCCTAATATGCGTTACGTGCTTGAATATTGGGGCCGACATTGTCAGCTTCAGTCTACATTACGTTAAAAAACTATGTGCATCCCTTTGAAAAAATCGTCTCCTTCTTAGAATGACGATGGACCTACACAAAGCTACCATCATAGGCATGCTGAAGTGTAGGAGAGAAGACATGTATCGCCATACTAGGTACGAAAGTTGAAGGTCAGTTACTAACACGGATAAGCTAACCCAAGAGAGAACATTAAATTTCAGGTTTTAAGTTAAAAAATATAATATTTAAGTATTTAGAAAAATTATTTACTCTTGATATTTTGTTACACTGTCCATGACCTCATGTCTATTACGCGTTCACGAAATTTTAGTAACATTTTGCAAAACTACCGGATTCATAACCACAGTATCGCGATTGGTGTAGCTTTTATATGTTCGGATATATGTTTATAATGTCACGTTTTTGATTCTATTCATTATAATTAATATTATATTATATTATTGGATATAAAAGCCTGCAAATAATAAAGTTATTTTTAAAACAAAATTAATTCAACATGCGCACGGTTTCATAAAAACCACCTAATACGGAGAACTCACTCGACTAAGAGTCTCCCAGTTTTATTTCTAAGGGACAATAGGTCCGTCGAGAGTGCCATACAATTTCCTGCGTTCAACGTGTACAAGCGAATTTAAACCTTATTACGAAAGTAGTACAATTTAACGAGGGACAGGTAAGGGTTTTGAGGTTCATAAATTAGACCGTGCTTCACTGTCACCGTGGCGAGGCAGAAACGAAAGGATACTTCGCAATAACCTGTGAAATGAACGGTTGATGACCACTTGCTTTTGGAAATGTATGAGAGTTTCAAAGTTAGGCGACAGTTAATAATGGCACGATAGAAATATATTGTTGCAATCAAACTTCCATGCAACTTGAGACTACACTTTCTAAATTTGTAAACTTAGACAGCTGCTTTATACTTCATGAATTATTAATGACTATGAATAAACAGAGACTTAAAGACTTTATCAGTTTTACACTATAAATTGATTTCACACTTGATCTCGTATTCTAGATTTCCAGATTTTGTCGTTGGTAACTTTTTATTCTGCTTATATTATATTTTATTTTTTATGTAACATGAAATAAATTGAATAACACAAACTTTTACAACTTATACATTTAATTTAAATAATGTTCCCCAATATATGATGCGCAAAAATTAACGATGCGTGAATTTACGTCCGCCAAATGTTGGGAAGAATGTACCTACATTAATGAAATCGAATGTTTTCAGAGACAATAAATCCATCAAACGTATACACATTTTATTGAAATATGTATTAATAAATAACAGACACACACATATAATAGTGATTTCTTCTTCTACCTTTAAATTGCTGTCGCAAATTTATATACTTATGTCCCAAGAACATGTATAGGTATTTAATTATATAGCACTTATTTCTAAGATACTTAAGTTAAAAATCTTCTTAATTGTTATTAATCTATCACACTCATAAACTTTGTATCAAACATACATATTTTCCTAACTTGATTAAATGAAAATTAAAAAAACAGAAACTGATTGTTTGTATAAGCAGAATTTATTTACTTCGAGGTAAAACTATTGCAACGCTCAAACATCACGACGGCACTTAAAAGATTAGGCGCAAATCCGGGTTTTCAATAAAAGAAATGCTGTAAAAAGAGAAGGTAAAAGCTTGTTACTGTCTCAATGCAGCAACGTTATTCCTGAAAGGCGGTTTGACCTACATTTAATATAAAGTGTATTTGTATTTGTGGCACCATCGATTTTCTTTAGAAGAGCTGAACAATTTAATAATTATACTTTGTATACGGTATTGTCTTTAAGATTAAATGCAGGGAAAAATTAAGATATAAATAATTATTAACACAAAAGCTATAAAGTATGGTGAAGCAGAAAAAAATAATAAAAGCTGTTACATGTGTAGACTTATAATACTTTAATTATTAATACGCAGTAAAAAACTAAGTAATTTTAAATATTTTGAAATAAAATAAATGAACTTTTTGAAATAACATCAAGATTTTGTAGTCACTATTTATGATTTTATTTTCTTATAATAATATTGAAATGTTCATAAATAATGTAATATAGTTTATGTAAGTTCTCGAGAAGCTAGCGAAATTATCTTAAATTTTTTGGGCGTATTTTCAAATAACCTAAAGACTCTTTCAATATGAAATCAACTTAACTTAAAAAATATATTATTTTATGAAATTAAATTATTTTATGATAGGTTTAAAAATATGACCTAGCAATTTATCTAAAATTTATAAATATAAAAATAAATAAGAGGTCTCGATAACGTTGATAGTTTTTGTTAATCTTTCTTAAATCTCTATTTCATATATCATTATATAAAACTATACGTTCTCGTGCGCTTAACATTTAAAACGTTAAACACAGCAAAGATATAATAAAAGTTAAATCATTTGAATGTGTCGTAAACTAAAATTCATTGAATTTTCACCGACTGTAACTTTCATCGCGAGGAGTACTGTTCCACTGATGGCTAATGGCC